GTGCCTGTTGTGCCATATAAATCCACAAAGAAGAATGCATGTAATAAACAAACGTATTAATAGACTGCAGCAAACATGATCAAGAAAGGAGGGAATTAATTAAAATTATTTTTTTCCCCCTCAATCTGCAGCTCACTTGGCTTTAATGACCTTTATAGTGAGTTTGAATTCATTGTTTCTCTGTCTGCTAACTTTACTGCTTTTGGTTCGGCCTCACGCTGTCATTGTGTTTTTGGCTGCAGCAGGCCGCTTTAAAAGCTCTGCCTGCTCAGCAGACTGACACAGACTAGCTGGTGAACATAGTATATTTCCATCAGGAGTTTAAAAACAGCTAACAGAGTGAATGTTGGACCTGCATTCACCAGTATATAGTGTTTCTGTGTTAATAGTAATAGTGTCATGTCTCCATCATTGTATTGATATATTTACTTGAGACCTAAGTATGTTTGATATTCGTTGCTGTGACTCGCTGTCTTCAGTTACTTGTGTGTTGTTGTATATTTGTTTATTTTTATATGATATATATCCTGATATATTCTCAAATAGTTCAAACATATAATGATCTTACAGAATATGATGCATTGCTGTAACAATTAAACTGTCTATAGCAGTAAAATTGAACATACACATTAATGTAGCAGGAATATTAATCCAAAAACACCATATACACAGACAATGACCATTTTACTGACTTTACTTTTACCTTAGTAAGGTTTAGAAACACAACTTTTCCTTAATTGACTGACTTCCTGCACATAATGTCAGGCTGCCCTCCGTTGCTCAGATTATAAAACATAAATAAGGATCATACATATTCAAAGAGCATTTTTATATCTTAAAAAACAAAACAGCATGCACAGTGATTTATATATATATTGTTGTTTGTTACTGGGCCCCACTTTGGGCATCCCTTGCTTTAATAATGGAGCTGAATACTCAGCCACAGCCTAACAGCACCTGAGTTACCTGCTGAGCTTTCCCCTTTAACATACCTGTGCAGCAAGTATGTACTGACAAATTAAAGTAAAAACCCGAATGAAAGAGTGGAGAAATACGACGAATACCTTCATACAGGGCACGAGGGGCCATTAAATGGTTTTGTGAGAATAAAAATGATCAAATGAACACCTGAATGGAGGTTGCTGGTGCTGCAGCTGGAAACACTTGATATTTCCGACCGCACCTGAATGCAGCAACCCACGTGTCCCACATTAACAGGCTTGCAGCGTCCCCTGGTGGAGAAAGCGGAGACGTTCAGGGTTGCTGGGGAAAAGAAAGTGAAAGAATAAATGTGATTTCAGAGTTTAGACCCAGGGCCGTCGAGGAGGTAAGGTGTTACCGAGCTGCGTTTTAAGTAGTAACTAGTAAAGTTTATTAAACATATCGATATAACGATGGTGTAGGTGTAACGTGAAAGCTTTCAGTTGTTTTCAGAGTCTTGTTGAATGCGACGTATTTAAAGTTAGTCAGACGTTTTTAAGGATTGTAAGAGCCGCTGAGGTGGGGATTTGTTTACGTGAGAGCAAGGCCTACTGTGTATCTCTACCGGTTTATAGGGTTTATCTGTATTCACACACACTCTTTGTTAGTCTTATTCTTATGGTGTATATTCAATGCACTGCCTGTGGTTGACATCATGTAGCTTTAATATTATGTGAATTATTCCAGGTTACTTTCACTATGTCTTCAGACGAGGTGAGACGTCATTTTGCTTCTTCCTGTTGTCATGTTGTTGTTCTTTTATTATGTTGTTAAAAACAGATATCACATAATATTCCTATAACAAATAACTGAAATTTATGTAATTGTAAAACTACTTAACTCAAAGCTCCTCTGCATTGCACACCCTGGATCTGGATGGATCATTCACATTAATATATATAATATAATCTATTAAGGATATGAGGTGAGGTGTTGTTATTTTGTGTGTCTTTTGTGTTTTAGGATTTCTCTCTGGTTATGGACCCATCCAAATCCACCTTGGAGGAGATCAAGGCTTCAATCGCCAACTTCAAGGTGCACTGACAGTTCGTGACTTTATCAGAGACTGGTGTAATGTGGCCTGCAGTGTATTCAAAGGGTTTACACCTAAAATACATAATAGTTTACCGATTCCTGTGGTCATGTGGTTGTAAGAGTAACAGGTTTATATGCACAGAGCATGACATAAGATAATAAATACAGCGTTGTTGAGGAGCACTGAATGAGAACAGAATGTACAGATCTGGTTTAATATGAGACTTCAGATAAATATAGGTGAAGAGTTGTGACTCACACAGATAGAAAGAGACAGACACACAAAGTTAAGTTCACTAAGTATATTTTATTAATTTAGGAGCACATGCATTTTTCAATAATACATTTTGTACAGATGCCACCATAAATACATTTATATAAGATGTCATATTTAATGTAATATAGAAAATGTCAGCTGTAATCATGAATTGTATCTGTGTGATTAAGTTTAAATTATGCTGAAATGACACTGGACCACCATGTGAAACACACATACTGTTCAACTTTAACGCCAGTCACATCCACTGTTCAGTCCATCACTGTAAACATTACAGAACATTACAGGATGAAGTACGAGGAAACTTAAAGACATCTGATTATTTCCATTTGCAGTTTCAGCCTTAACAAACATGGCCTCCTGGCTCTGAATACTCAGTATAGGCATCATCTAGCCAACAGAAAGAGCTTGAACAAAATGAAGAGTAGGAGAAGAATATAAGACTTTGATGCATTTAATTAGAGAATAAAATTCGTAGCTAGGTAAAAGGAAAGTTCAGTGGGACAGTGCACAGAAAATCATTTTTCTTCGCTAACTTTGGTAAAGTACATAAAAAAAGCACAAAAAACCCCAGTAAAAGTTAATGAATGCAGCTTGTGCGTCCACAGAAAAAACATGAGCAGCTTCTCCAGGAGCAGAAGGAGTTGGTCGCCAGCAGAGATGACCAGCAGGAAATGGTTGAGAAGTTCAGGCAGCGCATCGACAAACTGACCCAGAGTGAGGAAGAGGACCAGAACACCTACAAGGAGAACATTGCAAAGGAGAAGGTAAGGATCTATATTTAAAGAGGCCTCTCCGCTCTGAAAATGTGTTTTCTTATTGTTGTACATGGATGTTTCAGAATGACGTATGTTTGACACTGGAAGGCTGTTTTCACATTCATCTACTGAAGGAGGAAGGTTTCCCTTTGCTCACATTAGTATTTTTAGGACTTAAAACATGTCTGACGTGGATCTTTAAGGTGATCTAAATCCATTCAGGTGATTTAACAACTTGTACTAATATATTACGAGATAAAGCTGATATAGTGGGAATCGAACTGCTGCTGTACCGGACTTTATGGGTTACACCTTTTTACAGTAAGTTGCAACTTTGGCCCCATTCCAGGTGCCTCATGGGACAACACCTGCTGTCACGTCACTGATTAGGGTAGGGTGTAACCAGAAGGGCTGCATTTCTCACTTTTATAAATGTTACAGCTCAAACAATTGTTATAATGGAGAAAATAATCAGCAGATTCATCCTTAATGACAATAATCATTAGTTGCAGTTTTATACGTATGCTTACATTGCTTTCTGGCATTAGATGAGAAGCTCAATAGCACTGTCATGGCTGTCTATTAAAAAAATAACATCTTTGAACAACAAGTTGCTTTTTTATTACTTATTAGTCTGCTGGTGGTTTCATTTAATTTATTTGCAACTTATGACCACGATTACATATGGATATATGGATATATGGATATGGGTAAACACAATATGCAGTAATAATAAAATAGTAGCACGCTGCATGGTACATGGTATGCAAGTACAACAAACGTTACTTAAACAAAGGAAGGACATTCTTCAAAACGGCACCTGGTTTACAAATAATCTTAGGCGTATCTTTCTCATTTAAACGTAGAGAGGCAGTTTAAATACAAATTTGGCAGCTATATCTCTCTCTATAGTTCATTATGCTTACATTCTTACATTCAAACAAATTATGACTCATCCCCTGAACAATTGTTATTACAGACGTTGCAGATCCTCTGGTTTCTTTCCAGCCTTTATATCTTCCAATTACAAATAGCCTCCCTGTACTTTTGGTCTTTGTACAACAAATCATTTTCCAATTTAAATTCAGGCTAAAATGGGTAGACACTGGAATTTTATCAGTTCTATAATATGAGGCAGTATGAGAAGATCCTTTTTGATTTCTGGGGTTTTTCTTTAATCTAGTTTACATAATAATACAGTCTGTGAAAATTATTTGAATAGCAATTTTATAGTAGTTAAAATGTTCCAATTTAAAAATTCATATATTAGAGGTTCCATATTTTACACTTTTCTGGTGTTTTATTTTTAAGTTTTAATATGCAGAAGAAGTTTTATTGTTGGTTTTCAGTACGAAAACCCATCTCAATATACCATTTTGTTTTGCATGTTGTATCTTTAACTCTTCTGATTTGATGATCACAGATAACGGATTATAGTCTACCTGGGTGGTGGTTCAGGTGGGCCATGCTGGGAGGAGCATAGCGATGTCACAGCCTTACGGAAGTCCTCAGGGCTTGGTTAAAGGCCCACTTTCTGAATAGTGGATTGAGTGTTTTGATCAGTATTTCTATAGCAGCCAAACCTGTTTTTAATAAAAAACAGTCATGGAAATCTCACTTTCTACAATATGGGACCTTTTTAAATAGAGATAAAAGGGATAAGATCATAATCTAATACGGGTATCGTTGATTAGATGTAATTATAGGTTGCTTTTCCTCAGTACTTTGTTGTATCGGAAGTTTTTCTGTCTTGCAGGCGAAGCTGAACTTGCTCAAGCAGGAGGATCCAGAACTGATGAGGAAGATTGATAAAGTAAAGGCAATCTTGAAGGAGGAAGAGGCCCAAAACCGCCATCTGAAACAGCAGACTGACGTACGTTTATGCTCACTAAAACGCAGCGCCGTCTGCAGTCATCCATGTCTCATGAACCTTTTTGATTTCAGGTGTTCACTGCTGTACCAGAGAGGAAGGTTGTATTCATGGGGTCGACAGGAAATGCAGTCGACACACAAACGTTTGAAATGGAACCTAGTATATTTTACCCGATGGAGGAGGGAACGGCACTGATTACATTTGAGGAAGAAGTAGGTGAGTTTGTCAGCAAGTTGCCACCAGCGATGTTTTCATTCATCTGCATCTGTCAAATCTGCGGGATTTAAAAAAAATGCTTCCTGGACGAGAAGATTCTCCAGTATGGGATCTGTGGAGTGGGTCGGAAAAAAATTTTGCTTTCGTTTGCTTTGTTTGATTTGCTTTAAATCAAGCCACTGGTGCTTCTCAATAAAAATGTCAAGCTACAACATGTATTAGTAAATGTAGCTATGGTTCAGTTTCACTTTTATTTAAAAACTAGGTTTGAACACTGAAGTGATACCTGAACCTTGAGGTACTTGCAGATATCAACTACTGATCCAGAACGTGCCAGAAAGTGATAAATAAGACAGTATTATGCATCAGTAGATGTTACGATATCTGATATTATAAAATGAGATAATGGAAATGCAGAATTTTGCAATGACATTGATATTTAATATTTATCCGTCACACTCAGTCACACTCAGTACTGATAGTATTACAACCCAGTGGACCAACTCAATGAAACTAGGTATAAATACATAGATCAAGTGTTTTATGAATTTCAGCATATATATTATTATATAATAATAATAAAACATAAATAAACAAAATATAACTGGATACTGAAAAAAAAACTTAAACTGTAAATATACAAAGTTAGTATCAATATTATAGTGAAATAAGTTGAATTTATACTGTATATTGTCTGTCTTGATATAACATGGTGCTTCATTAGAGTTTCACTGTCTCGGATGACACACAGGGACTTTGGTTCTGGTCCAGAGTTACAAATGCATTGGCTAAATTAGTTGGTCTTATTGGCTTCAACAAGTTAAAACATTGGGTTACTTGAACAACAAACAGAAAACGTGTGAGGACAGCTCTGCCTGCACTGCCAGATTAAGCCACAAGGGGGAAGCAAAAATGAGCAATGGGTCCCTATTGATCTCAGTCTCCATATCCTTAAGTAGAACCAGCCCACACAGTCGATTACACAGGGCAGCTTCATTATATTTCCTGGAAGAATTGACATGGACTTTTCTTATATTACAGTGACACATGATGGTTGCCCCGATGTTTTCACTATAGTGTACCACAGATTTTGTTATTGTCGTCCATGTTTTACTGTATATTTGCTTTGGTTGATGGACTTCTGAGGCCTTGTGAAATGTTTAGTAAGGCAACACTATCACTATCACTTACCAGAGGTATCCACTCTGTGCACTTGGTAATGGGTTGACTGGCATTCATTGTTGACCTGTGCACCTCCTGCTCAGCTGGTGGTGCTGATCATTGTGGTTCTGAATAACTCTGTGTTCCCTCTGTGATCAGTGGCCGGGAAGATCCTGGAAATGAAGAAGCATAAGGTGGATCTGGGAGCAGAATGCAGCATCACTGTGGAGGCCAGACCAGTTCAGCTGATGGTGCCCAGGCTGGTGGAGGTACAGCAAACATACTGAATGAGCCAAATCCGAATGTTTCTAACCTCAAGGAGTCTGATCAGTATTAATAATGTGTGCCTGCCTGTCCTGCAGATAGACTCTGACGTGTGTCCTCAGCGCGTATTAATCTCTAACCTGCCAAAGATGGACAGCGAAACTCTGCTGAGCAAGCTGGAGATCCACTTCTCAAAGAGTAGAAACGGAGGCGGAGAGGTGGACTACTGTGAAATGATGTTTGACTCTTGGACTGTGGTAGTCACCTTCGTGGGGAGCAGCAGTGAGCAAGCTCCGTTCTCTTCTATTTATGATGGAATATATATATATATAGTTAAATGTTATTCATAGGAAAATCAGTGGGAGTTCAGTTTGGAGGTAATTATTCAGAACACTGTAGACTACAGCTGATTGTAAACACAAAATATGAATTAGGGCTGCACAATTTATCAGAATATGATCAAAGCCACAATATGGCCAAGTGCAATATCTGAATGGTAGAAGCTGCAATTTTTTTAAATAAAGGTTAAATGCTATTATAATGAAGTACTGGAGTTCTGCAGTGATCCCATGTCCTCCAGATTTAAGAAAACATGTTTGTTTGGCACAGACCGAAAAAAAATATTCACATCATTATGATTTTTTTCAATGAAAATTACAAAAAAAATAATTTCCACACTAATTGCAAATCATATTGCCATCGCAATATGATGTTTTTACCATATTGTGCAGCCCTAATATGAATCCACATGTTTTTAAATACTATTAGTATTATAATACATAAGTTGTAGGCTATGCACCTGAAAGGGACAGCCAAAGGTGAATATTTTCCACTACAAAATGTTGTGTCTACGTTCTGTTTTGGTCTGGATCCCAGCTGATGAAACTCTTTCTACTATCAGTTGCCAAACGTTTGACAGATACAGAGTACCATGAAGTGGAGCTACAACAGAAGAAGCACAAAGTGCGGGTGACTCCTTTTCTCAACGGAAATATTACAAACCTACAGGTGAGCAAAGCCATAATATACAAGGCAGCTTTCCACTCTCAGATTATCTATGTCCTGTTAACCCTGCTCTGTCTGACTTGTGCCTGTGGCGCTTCCCCTCCAGACCAAGATGTCGGTGTGTCCTCGGACGGTCCTGCTGACAGGAATCCCTGAAGTCATGGAGCAAGAGACCCTGCAGGATCTGCTTGAAATCCACTTCCAGAAGAGCGCCAATGGTGGAGGAGAGATCGAAGCCTTCCTCTACAACCCACTGGGTCAGCACGCCTCGGCCCTCTTTGGGGGCATGTCCCAAACTGGAGAGAAGGATTAGACTGTAGATTCATCACTGTTGCTCAAAAGAAAAAACCCTCTCAGGTTCAGGGTGAGATTGGATCCACCCTGCCAAAAAAAAATCTGTTTTAGTCCTATTTTTAGTTACCTTCTGTGATACAAGACAGTATAATTTAGTACAAAGTAATTCACTTCTTATTTTGGGATGTTTTATGGCATCAATTAAACGTCATCTTTCATTTTGTCTAGAACAAAATCTCTGATGTCTGTTACTATCAATTCTAAGAATTATAAAACTTTAACCTGGGTATTTTCTGTGTAGTTATTTAAAAATGTATATTAATGGGACGTAGTAGTACTACAGTGTAACTACAATTGGGCAATGACCACATTAATCAACAAGAAATCTGTACTTTCATCATGTAAATCTATGGCAAATCTGTTTTATTGTATAAAAATGTTTGTAACACATTATTACATTGTCTCTCAGTGCAATTAAACTGCTGTATGAAATCATGACAAGACAGACTAAGTTTTTGGTTTGTAAAGATAAAAACTAGTCTGGGAAGTGAGTTTATTTGCTTTCTGTGGAAGAGTTAATGCAAAAATAAAATCTTATTTGTCCATTCAGTACACTACAGCTAGCAGCCGTTAGCTGAAAACAAAGCGGCTAGTTCTGCCATTTCCCCTTTGTTTCCAGTCTTTGCTTTCCTTTGTCTAGCTAAGCTAAGCAGTAGGTGGCTGTTAGCTTCATGTGTAACGGCTAAATCTAGCAGAAAAGCGAAAATGTATTCCTTTACGTAAACAAAGATTTTAATCGGAGTCCCACTCCTTTTCCAGAAGTTTTTCTTAACACAGACCACACAGACCTTTTTCATAGCAGCCATTTTGACTTTAAATAGTAGGGTAAACACAGGTGTTACTAGTGATACTAATTAAGGCTCCATTCCATTCCATTCAGATCAGTCATGGGCTCTGAATAAGCTAAGTAAGCTTAATTGGTAGCACGTTACTTGTTATCACCAAAATGATAACTAACATTTTACAGGACAAAAAAAAAAAGGTTTGGTCATTTTATTCAATGTTCAGGTGTTTCCATGATTCGGAAAACTAGTGTCTAAATTTCCAGGTTTTCCAGGACGTGTGGAAATCCTGTTTAATTTGAGGTTGAAATCCCTGCGTTCAACTGTAGATGTCTAAAAGCATTTTTTTGTGATAGCGTTAAGTGTTCCCATTGCAAATAAGTATATTAAAATTACCACTGATTGATTGAACAAAAAAAAAAAAAAGAGACTGAATTCAGATCAGGTTTATTGTAAAAACAACAGCAGAGTTAAAGTAACAGCACATTTAAAAAAAAAAAAAAAACTAAACTGACATTACTTAAAGAATCCAGCTATATCCCCTAGTGCACGAACTGGAAAACAAACAAAACAGCAGCTGAAGATCCACAGAAGAACAAACTAACAGGTCAGGCACTTAGACAGAGAGGGACAGGTCTATAGCATGTGTGTAAAAATAAAAATACATTCCAAAAACAAAAGGAAAAACACTAGTGCCACACAGTCAAGTACTTTGGAAGACAGTCGGCCTAATTTCACATCAAAACAAGGGGGAAAAATCATTAAAAACCTCTAAAATAACAACCTATTTGTTACAATACATTGTTTTCATAATGATAACACACAAACTAGTGCAGGAGTAACTGCCAGCATCCAACAGTCCTTCTCTTCTACAGCGTGTAGGCCTTCTGTCGACCATTTTGTGCGTGCTAAAGTTCACTCAGACCTCGCCTTTTAAAAGAAATCTCAAATCTTTTGTTTTTGTGCAGTGGTATTCTTAACAAACAAAACCAACAAACATAAAAACCACTCATGTTTCCTCTCTAAAAGTGGAGTCACGCTCAGATACGTATCTGACATTAAAACAAGGTCAGTGCAAACTCTGGTGTCAAAGTGACATGGCCCCATGATAACTACGGCAGTACTCGCAGATCATTATGTACACGACAGTAACGAGACATCCTATGATGCGTTTACAGGCACTACTCACACATAACAGTTAAAGGTTTCAGAGAAAACACCACAGGTTGTTGCAAGTAGTACAGGTTATTGTTAATATTGTTAAGTTTTTCCTGTTGTGAAATACATTTTAAATACATTTGTTGTTGAGAAACAGTACTTACAGATTGCATTCTGCCAAGAAGCTGTCTAATGTTAAGTCCTACACACACACACACACAATATTGCAAATACTTTACCTCCTACATCTGAAATATGTCAGTTTGTGCCTTTTTTTGTTAATGCCAGAATGCAATGTTGATGAAAATATATGTTTGTGCTATTAACTCGAAGCACTTTCCTCACAAGGAACTAATCAAGTGACTATAAAGGACAAACACTTGAATGGAGTGCAGCCTATAAGACCCGATTAGAGATGTGAATGCACTCATGCTAGTCACATCTAATCTTTATGTTTATTTTATATCTTTTGTCATCTGACTGCTTGAATTTGCTTGTTTTTTTTTTTTTACCTTTCCAATGACAGCTGTTTGTCCTACTTTACAGTAAATACCTTGAGGTTAGGGGTTGTTGTCAAGTCAGAACATTGCATATTGTTAATATTGCTCCAAAGCGGCCTGTTACATTCAAACCACCAACCGTATTCCTATGAGAGTCAGAGCAGAAAGGAACTTCTGGAAAAGTTGCCAGAGAAGATGGACAGAGAGAGGTGTCCGTCTTCTCGGTAGGTGAGTTAAGCAGGAGTGCATTAGTGGGTTGAGAGGTTGTTGGGGGGGGGCTGCTGGTTGTCCAAACTGGAATTATGGGACTGTTGATACAACTTGGCATGTGCAATACGGGCCGTTTAAACGACCAGCGGTGCCCATTCGCTTGGTTTGCGTCCGTACTGGGTGAAGCAAGGGAAACAAGAGCGAAAAGGAGAGAAAAAATTAATAAGCGAAACATGTTATATGTTGCTTTTGTGAATGCAAAAAGTTAAAGCTGCTGTTTTAACATCAAAATTCACCCGCGGTATAAGGTTAAATTAGGAGCTAGAGTGGCAACAAATGACTATTTTGAGAATCGAATAATCGTTTCAGTCATCTATCAAGCAAAAAAGGGAAAAAAGAGAGAGACTTTACTGTTTTCCTGTTTCAAATAAATTGTAAATATATAAAAAAAATTAATAATAAATAAATAAATAAATAAATAGGACACTTTGGACTCTGGGAAACTGATGACCTTTATGCTGCCACTTGGAGTGAAGTTTTTTTTTCTGTTGCAGCTTAAAGAAGCCGTTACATTCTGCACTGGGAGGATAAAAGCCTCTCTGAGCTTCAGCACTTACCTGAATATCAGTAAGCTCTTTGTGGAACCTCTTTGCCAGGTCCGGACCGTTCTGCATCGTCGGGATCTGGTACGTCTGAGAAAGGAGGAGAGAGGCGTAACATTTTAGTCTTTTAGCCCATACTGTTACCCAGAATGATTAACTATCAGGTTGTTTACATGCGCTCTTAAGCAGGGGCGAAACTGGCTGGACAAAAGGAGAGGTCATAACACGAATTACTATTATTATCAGTCTTTTATTTAAAATGATTCCATCCAACCGAAACTCACGCAAAGTAGTCCAAGTAAGTTGGTTTCCACCTCTGAACACTAGTTGTTAAATTCCAACACTTTTCTGCTGTGAGGGAAAGCTGATATCACTAATACAATTAAATAAGAAAGACATGCTTCAAAAATCTGCTTACTGGTTTCTCTGAGTAACCTGGTTAGTTAAATGCATGTAAACACACTGAGTCCAACGGTTGGATGAGGAAATCTTAAGATTTCAGCCTACAGAACAGTATCTTTAAAATGATGACAGAAAAAAAAGGAGAACTCCTACCTTTCCTCTGTACAGGAGGCTGCCGACAGGACAGACAACACAGGCCGTCCCTGCTCCGAACACCTCCTGGATCCTCCCAGCGTCCAGAGCCCCCAGCAGCTCCTTCATGGCCATCGTGCGCTCCGTCACCTTAAACTCACCCTGACAGGGACACAGGAAGCAATGAACATCAAGAGGAGATGAAAGTTTAGTGATCTACTGTTGTGGTTTTCAAGAAATATCCTCACTTGTGAGGTGTTCCAACAAAGAGTGACTGTTATTCTTTGTTTGATTTGAATCATTTTTAAGAGCCATGAAAGCGTTAAAACCAGAATCAAAGGATATAATGATTTTTTTGTGCATTTCTTCTGTACATCTATGTATGCCTTGAGACCCATTGTGGGTTTGGAAGCACAGATCTAAGGTACTTTCATGGTGGAAAAACTTAAAACAATGCCTCCTTTCGAATCCGAACATCCCACAATGGTTCTCTGTTAACTGAGCTGCTACACTGAACATTTGAGGAGCACAAAGGGAGAAATTTGGGAGAAATTAAATGTACAAATCCCTCGTCATTGAATAGGAGCTTGCACGTGTCATAACTGATACTGCATGCTATTAAAATAGTATAAATAGTTTGTGTTTGGTCTCCTCTCTGGTTGACTTACCCACTCTCTGGCCAGGTCCAGCAGAGACTGTCTGGTGACTCCTGGGAGAATGATGCCATCCAGAGGTGGGGTCAGCAACTCCTTCTCTGCAGACACACAAACATACATTACGTAACTAGTTTTATCCAAATTAGAAGAACGAGGTGCTCAAATATTCCAACCAAGATCAGCGGTAAGATGAGAAGGTGGACAGAAAACTCCAGAAACAAACTGTATTTCAGGGTTAAAGAAACAAGGAGAGTCTGACCTCCGTTCTCATTGGTCCAGTAGATGAAGAGGTTCATGGTGCCGACCTCGGTGATCTCCTCCTGCTCTCCGTACAGCCAGAGGACCTGCTGACAGCCGCGCTTCACCGCCTCATGCTGGACTGCTATCGTAGGACCGTAGTTGCTGGAGAGAGTTAAAATAAGCCACAGACAGGCAGAGACATGAGTGTCAAGAGAGCAGCGGGGAGGGAGGACAAAGGGGTGAGAGATAGATGTCATTCTTTTCGTTTTTCCTGTATACTGTATTTACTTACTGAATATCTAAGGCTGTGATACAACAAACTATCTCGGGAGACAACTGAGAAACAGGGCAGTGACATTTTATTGTTTCAAGGAAATAAATGGACTTAATGACCCCAAACCAACACTCACAGGCAGGTGTTTGTGCTGAGGAGGAAGGATCCTGGTGATAAATGTCAACAATGTGAACAACAAAAGGACTCATTATAACATTATAGTTATCACAACACTTCCTCTTACTAAAATGTTTAACCCGTGCCAAGAAATGGAAGAATACTCTGAGAAATATGCAGCTCTACTGTGATTTCTGAAACGTATCCTTGTGACCGCAAGGGTTTCAATAAACAATGAACAATGCAACTTGCAGTTAAGACTCAAGTGATCAATGTTTAAGCTGCACGAATCAATTCAGAGGAAAAACACGCACGTCCTGACATACTGTCGCATTGTTAAGTTGTTCTGGCAAACGTGTTTGCAG